TGAGACTTTCATTATAAAAATCTTATTTGAAAAACCTGCACTACTGAACGTACAGAGAAAGAACTGATAAAGAAAACAAGATGAAGCACATTTGCTCCATGGAAACAAATATTCAACAACCTCTTCAGTCAAGTTCACAGACTCCCTGAACAGAGCAGAGCTGAATCAGGAGTTTTCAGTACTGCTGCTATTTAAGGCATTTGAGGAGAAGACTCCCCATGGATTAATACTTCAAAGTACAAAGAAGCACGAGTGGACATTGTTCAAGTTCACACAGTATCACATAGTTCACTATTTTGTCTCTAAGCTTAATTAAAAGAGCAATCTTGAAAACACTTGCACAGGAGTTTTCAACTTACTATAACCACAGGGATCTATTGCCAAGCCCCTAGCCTGGAAGGAAAGAAGTACACAGGTCTGTACTTCTCAAGACTAAATGTTCCCTCTGTACACGTGTTCTTTTTTTTTTTTTTTTTTTTTTTTTTTTTTTTTTTTTTTTTTTGTTTTTCTCCGGTACCGGGAACCGAACTCACGACCTTGCGCTTGCCAGGCAGGCGCTTTTGCCGCTGAGCTAAATCCCCAGCCCCTGTACACGTGTTCTTATGTACTCTGCTCCTATCTGGCTCAAAATTTAACTACTCCCACTTCAAATCGAATTAAATTATATTTTTTCCAGCACTGCTTTTCATTTTGGCCATATCAAAAGTATTTTCTGTCCTTTCTGGGGAAGGGAAAACTTGAACAGTGAAACCTATCTTTTAGTAAGTTACCCACAGAACATACACTGTCCTGATTTTCCGCCTGGCTTACCAACCATCTTCTTTTACCAGATCCTCTCTGCTGCCTCTAAATGTTGGGCTCCTTGCCACTGAGCCCAAAGTCCTGTTCTTTCCTCTGTTTATATTCTCTCCCCAGACCTTTGTACCCAGCTCCAACAGCTTTGTGCATCATAATCAGTGACTTCCAAGTAATTAATCAAACCCCTTTGTCTTGGTTACTTTTCTCTCCTTGCTGAGACAAAATACCCGACACCCAAATTAAAGAGGGAAAGGTTTAGTTAGCTCAGAGTTTGTGCAGGTTTCTGTCTGTACTCGGCTGGCTCCAAGGCAGGGTGGCACACATGGCAGAAGGCAACAGTTCATGGCAGTGGAAAAACAGCGAAAGCAATAAGAGCACAAGGGAGCAGAGGCAGCAAGCAGCCTGTTTCCCCCACTTACACTGTATGTAAACAACCAGCCCCAGGGCAGGTGTAGCACTCACATCCATAATCCCAGCATTGGACCATGGATCAATCATAAACTCTAGAAGCCTGCCCCATGACTGCATGAGGCGTTGGGGGGACATCCAGACACAAACCGTAACACCTTCTTGTATGCTACCGTCTATTTATCCAACAGCTTATAAGGCATTTCCATGTGGACATCCAACTCAGTCGATTTTGTGCTACCCTAACAAAATATGTGAGACTGAGTTAGCCCATACTTTTAGAGACCTAAAGTCCAACATCAGGAGGTGCCATCCACCCAGCCTCTAGTGAGGACTTCTAGCTATGTTACAACATGGCAGATGGCACCACAAAACGGTAGCAGGGGTAACAGTGACAAGTGGTGGGTGCAGAAGCATATGGAGTGGCCTTGCTCTATAACAATCTACTCTGCTGGTAACTGATCCAGTCCCCTGAGAACGAACCCACTCCTCAAAGCAGGTGTTAATCCTTTCCCAGGTGGTGTCCCTGTTATCTAATCCCTCCCAGCAGGCTGCCCACTTTAAAGTTCCACCATCTCTCACAACTGTGGCAAGGAGGACAGTCCTCTACAACATAAACTTCTGGAGACAAACCACATTCAGAGCACCGCAACCAGACTTTGCGACAGGCATCCTTTATAATGCCCTCCAGCAAGCTCACCCTTCCTGGCTTTCATACCCAGTGCACTTCCCTCTCACTGTACCACGTCTGGTCTGTGTGACCAGGAGCATGTGGCATTAGTGACAGTATCCCCTTCTGAGACCGGGCTCCAAAAAGGCTATGCCTTCCATCTGGGGCTCTTTATCTCCTGGATCATTCAGTTTAGAAGAAGCTACATTATAACCAGCCCTATGGGGAGGTCTACACAGGGAGCAGCTGAGGTCTCCGTCCAACAGCCCAGTAGTTTATCAGATCCATGGGAAAGAATTAAGAAGCAGATACTGGTACCCCTATCAAGCCTTGCCATGACTGGAGCCCTGGTCTTTAGTTCTATTGGTGGTGGTGTACCCTTGAGATGTACAAAGTGTTGGGTGGCCAAAGGGGTAAGGGCGCAGGCTTTGGAGTTAAAAAAACATAGATTTTCCTCCCACTTTTAAACCTGCCAGAATTGTGGTTTAAACTTTCAGTACCTTAGCCAGAGGCAACCAAGCAGACCACATCCACTATTCAGACACCCAGAAACTGTGAGACAGTAATTGTTAGTCAATGTAATCTGCTAGATTTTAGGATTTTTAAAATGTAGCAGAATCTAACTAATCCACACGTCACAGAACATGTACCAAGCAGAACTTTCTCTCCAGTTCTGATCCCCAATTTGTTCTTTCCCTAACCTTTGTTTAGTAACCAGCATCGACAACTACCCAGCTTTCAAGCCAGCAAACCAAGAATCATCTTTGACTTCCCCTTCTTTCTCATGTTCACATTCAGTTCCTCCACAAGTTCTATGGAATCCAGATCCAAAATATTAATGAATCCATTCATTTGATAAATATGTACTGAGTCTACTTTGCATATGGTGGATCAACAGCTGCTCGAGAAATCATAGCAAACAAAACAGGTACCACCATGCCCATCCTCAAATACTTGACATTCTTTTTAGAAGGAGTGGTTAACAATGTATAAATAAAACCTATAGTATTCCCTACAGGACAAAGCAACATGGAGGGAAAATAAAGTGAGAGGGGTGGAAAATACCAAGGTCTGTGAGTGCTGTCGTAGACCAAGTGGTCAGTTGCTATCAACAAAGTGACATGTGAAAACTCCATTTTTTCTGTCTCTGTTGCCATTACCCTCACCTGACGCACCAGTGGCTTTTGTTTGAACTTTAATCATAGCCACTTTATGTCACTCCCCTGCCTAAAACCCTTGAGTAACCCCCCAGGGTTGTACATGAAAACCTGAAATCCTTACCAGACTGCAAAGAACTGTATGATCTAGTCCCACCCATCTCTCCAATTTCCCCTTGAACCAATCACTTAAGCTTCAGCTATTCTGTCTTTCTGGAAGTTTCTGGAACATACCAAATTCTTTTATGCTTCTTCTAACCCTGTGGGTCTCAATAAAAAGAATAAACATCTTCAAGCACCTCTCATCCTTCCAAATCAAGATCCAAATCCACGAGTCTTCACCACCAAATCCAATCTCATTTTTTCTTGTTTACAATTTGTAGCTACTGTTAATTTATTGGATCCGCCTCCTCTAATGAGAATATAAACTCCAAGAAGTTTGTATCTATATCTGTCCTGCTCTGTATGTAGCCCCACCGCACATCTAGGTACAAAATACCTATTTATTGATTGAATAAACCTAGCCTTCCTGATCACTCTCTAATTTCAATACCAAATGTGACCCAAAGTGTCATTAAAGAGTAAAATCGGGACCTTATTTTCATAAACGCACAGACTATTAGATTGAGAACAGAACTAGAGATCAGTTACCTTTATGTGCCTAGACAAGATAAGCAACTTGTACATAACCACAGAACTGGAACTGGAACTAGAATGATTACACTCAGGTCCAATGTTCTTTAAATGAGCAAAGATTCTGACTGTGTACCTTTAGTTCACAGGACTGTACCTTTAGTTCCTACTGATGTGGGACTTTGGAGTCTGAAAAACAGGTTTCTCCCTGCCTTTAAACTTCCTGGCATTTTGGCTTACCTGTTCTGTGACTTGACTTTCTCATCTGTACCATGAAAATATCTCAAGGACTCGGACACCACCCCTGGCAATTAGGTTTTGCTAACTGTAAAAAGTATAGTTGTGGGCATTCCTATGATGATTCTAAAGTCAAGGAATTGAAGTAAAACCTGCTTTGCTCTTTTATTCCAAAAATCTATACTCCATGTTTTAGTAACTTTTTTTAACATTAAAGCAACATCCAACCTCCACAAGTGCAAAAGTATCTTCAGCAAGTTGCACTTTGTGAATCTGGTGTTTGAATTAGCCTTTAAAAAATTAAATTATTATCAATAGTCAGTAAGTTTTCTGATCTCTCTTTCTCTCTGTCTCTGTCTCTCTGTCTCTGTCTGTCTCTCTGTCTCTCTCTCTCGTGCACTGAGATTTCTTGAAGGGGGTTGGCTATTTCTGGAATTACATCAGGCCTTGAGGATAACTACTGTGTCGATGTAAAACGAAATGTAACAGGGCAAGCGACTGTCACAAGTTCTGATTCTTTTCTTTCATTCTCTCTAAGGAGTGCAGTGACCCTCCAGGACGGGAATAAATGCTTGTCAGTTCCCCCATTCCCGAGGTGACTGACGGCGAATGCACCAGTGCTTCTAACTGACCCGAAAGTTCTCATCTGTGAAGGTCCGCACCTGGGACGTCTTTATAACAACCCAACATCACGCCGGATACACCTTGCTCGCACCCATAGGGAGGCGCACCAAGGTGGGCGGAAAAACTTCGTGATAGAAGAACCCAGAAACGGTAAATAAGTGGCGAGGCCGAGGCACAGAGGCAGGAGGTCAAAGGTTCCCGGGAGAGAGAGCTTGTGCAGAAGGGAAGGCAGGGGACGAAGGGAGCAGGAATCAGAACAGCGCCCCAGCCCAGCACGGGTCCGCTCGCGCGCACCCGCCGCGCCAGGCTTCGGGACTTCGGGACTTCGGCTACGGACCGCACCGCCTGCTAGGCCCCAGCTCCCGAGCCTGCGCCCGGCCTGTGCAGTTTTCAGGGCCGGAGCGCTAGAGGGGCAGAAGTCCCGCCCTGGGCGGAGCGCCCCCTGCCTGGCCGCCGCTGGGCCCCCTTCCTACCGCGCCTACCGCTCCCGCGCCCGCTCCTGCTCCGGGCTGCTTCCCTCCGCGCCGCGCCGCCTCTCCCCGGGGACCCCGCCAGGCCTACTTCCCCTCCCTTAGCGTCTCCCCACTTCCCTCCCACTTCACCTTCCCCTCCCGGCTTTGCCCTGCCCCTTGCTCCAGCCACGCCCACCAGGCACTAAGCCACGCCCATAGGCTAGACCAACCACGCTTTCGCCCCATACCTCGCCCACACGACTGTAGCCACTGCCCTGTCTTTGGTCCCAGGTTATGCCTAATAGATCCAGCCCCGCCCACCCCGCCCTAGTGTAGCAAGTCTGGACCCCAGACAGCTGCAAGGCCTACTCTAGTGCAAGTATCGGCCGGCAGCAGAGAGCTCTGCTCCGGGGCTGGGCCGTGAGCCCACTTACTGTGCGCTAGAGTCTGTTATAGTGAGATAACCGCAAATATTCTGGATGGAGAGGGTTTTTTTTTTTTTCTCTTTCTGTTTTGGCTGATTTGAAAGAATTAGGGCCTCAACCACGCCAAGGGAAAGCCATCAAATACGTCCTGCCCGGATCCCAGTTCTCAAGGCATGACCTGATACATTCGGGCCTGTAGTAGCTATTTCAGTTTTAGCTTTCTGCAAGGACAACGCATCAGAGGTGATGACATAGGATCTGCATCCTGATCCTTCATGCGTAGGACTTTGGGTTTGCAGTCACAGTTCTTTTTTGTTTCATGTTCCTGGGTCTGAGTTTCCTCGTCTTTAACACTGGCTGTGCTACAGTACTTCACCTGGTTGAGTGAATACAAGATTAGTGAATATAGGGTTAGTGAATAGGTGGGAAGATCCTACAGGAGTCATTTCAAAAGAAAGGAAAAATTTAATAACGATGGTGCATGTTGAGACAAATGGGAACAACCTAACAGGCGTATGACAACTTGTGTGAGTTTTAAAGCAAGCTACGCGTGGTAGGACTTATACCCCTCCAATTACAAGAAAACAGATTTAGAGAAACACCTTATTGGAGAGCACGACTAGAATCTGGGTTGGTTGATATCAACCACTACACCGTCTTTCTCAGTACTACAGAATGGGTCACTTTGCTAGGAAGCTAGGAAATAAATGCATTTAAGGCAGAAAAAAGAGAACTATGTGCCTTCTTTTCTTATTTAAAATGCTTTCATTTTGTTTTGTTTCTTTTAAGGAGTGAAAAAAGTATGAGAAGTTATTGAGAAAAGAAGTTAGTTGGCAGGGAGAAGATATTGAACGGAACAATGGTTCTTAAGGAGCGTGGCTGGGTAAATCCTAGAAGCTGGGGTGGGGATAAAAGTAGGGCCCAAGAATAGGAGGGACAAGAATAAATGTGGAGGTTAAGGAGCACAGAGGTCTGAGTCCTAGGAGAGTTGAATATTCCTAGAACGACTGCGGCTCACATTGAGATTGTATAATGAATAGCTGGATTGAGGGAGACTTCCAGGGTGATTTCAGTGCCGGCTGCAACTTGATTGTGTGCGCTGCAACCCCGCAGCCCTGTAAATGGGTACCTGACAATGGTTGTTAAGGAGAGGCCTAAAAGTCCATTATTTATAATGTTACGCATTTTAGCGGTCCACGCTGCCAGACATGAAATTATACACAAGGCTCATGTTAGAAAATGACTTCAGGTTTTCTTTAGGGAAGTTACTAAATTCTCTGCCGCCCACATTAAACCCATCGAGCAAGATTTGTGATGGATTTCACTTGCAGGCTCTTATTTCTGTGATTTTATCCTTTAAAAAGGTAATGTTAAAAAGAAACTACTCTAGATTGTGTTTCTCTTTGAAAGAAGTAGCTGCAAAAAGCTTTCCAATTAATATGCAAAAGATTTATACCAGAACCTTATCAAATTATTATGAATAGGTATGCTTCAACAAGGGGTAACAACAGTGAAAAATGTTTCAGTATATAGCATTTTATTATATACTCTTTACATATGGTAAATTACTAAAGTAGTACTGTTAAGCATCAAATGCGTTATGTTTTAAAAAGTACATAAAATAAACATTTTCAAAATTGACTAGCCCTGGAGATAGGCAAATAAGAATGAGAAAAAAGATCTTCTATGATGTTCTGCAGTCAAAAATAATAATCTGGCATCAAACTTGTGCCCAATTTAATTTTTTACTCTTTCTTCCTGGAGAAACTTCACTTCAAAATACATTTTGAAACCTAGAATATCAATGTTCTATCTTATGCCTGTGATGAAATACCTAAAGTTAAAAATCATATTATTAAGGAACCAAAGGTTGCCAAATCAATCCCTTAGTTAAGGGTTTAGTTCAAATACACTCTCATTTCTCTAGCACTTGCTTTCATTTTCATAGTTTCTTTGAATTTCGACAGTACCTGTACTCAGAAACACTAAATTGGCAGAGAGAATGAAATCAAAACCAAACATTCAAAGCCCTTTGCTGTGTGGGTTAAACTTGTAAGTTTTCATCACCCTAGCTAGTTGTTTTAAATATTTACACAAAAATTAATTTGTAGAAACAATCTAGAGAGGATGAAATGTAAAGCAACTGCATAATTATCAGATAAACAACAAAGAAAGAGCAGAGCTAAAGATGTCAGTTCTTTAAATGGTGTTGCTGTCAGGTTTTCACTGTTAATTAGAAGTTAACATAGTAGAGCCGAGATGTTCTTCACTTAAATTTTGGGCATGGTGTGATGCACTACTCGTATAATTTCTAGGAAATCTATTAGTGTAATGGTTTGAGCTCAAATGTCCCCCCAGAGTTCATTTGTTCAGAAGTGGAGCTGGCTTGTGGACGGTGCTAAACCCATCAGAGGATTAATCCATGCATCAGTTCAGAGCTGAATGTGCTGCTTGGAAGTGGGGCCTGATTCAAAGAGGTGGGTCATTGGGAGTGTGACTTGTAAGGTGTGTTCCTGTCTGTGACCCTTCTTCTGCTGGCTCTCTTATCTTCTGTCTGCTTCCTGGCTGCTCTAGGTTCAGTAGTTTTGCTCTGCCACCTGCTTCCACTATACCCTTTCTGCCTTAGAGTCAGCCAGCCATGGACTGAAACCTCTGAAACCTTGAGTCAAAATAAACCTCCCTGCTTTTAAGTTGTGCGTGTCAGATATTTTCTCCCAGCAACTGAAAAGTGATTACTACAGATAGCAATGTCATAAGAGGGTCAGAATGGAACTTTCAGCACATATTTTTCTAATCAGATTCCTGCTTATACTCTCCCTGAATGCAGCAAACTATTCAACACATTCTATCACTTCATTTAATAATGAACAAAGGGAAAATGAAATTAAAACTAATACGTTTCTTAAGGAGCTACATTGCAAGCACTTTAAAAATTTTATTTTAAAGATAACAAAAACAGATTAACACACAGACATAAAACAACATAAAAACAATAAAAGCAGTACACAATTTGAGACAAGGTGATAGGAAATTAACAATGGTTGTTGTATTACATGTTATCTTCAAATTGATTACTCATTAAACAAATAATACTCCAATGAACAAAACTTCTATGGGGACAATGTCCTTATCAATAAGCTATTACAACCTTTTGGAGATAAATACTGTTTATAAATTTGGTTTTAAAACATTTTGACTTGTAGGGTATGGTGGTGCATTCCTGGAATCCCAGCATTTGGGAGGCTGAGGCTGGAGGATCACCGTGAGTTTGAGGCCAGCCTGGGCTACATAGTGAGTTCCAGCTCAGGCTGAATGATATAGTGAGAACTTGTCTCAAAACAAACAAACAAATAAACACCCCCCACCGAACCATTTTGACTTTTCCACTGTTATGGAAAGCAACATGGCAGTTCTTAAAAACATTAAACATAGAATTAGCTTGTGATACAGCAATTCGTCCTCTTAGTATATATCGAGGAAGTAAAGATCTTAAATCCTCACCACACTGCAAAGCTTTGTATGATTTGGTCCCACCTATCTCTCCAATTTGAACAGATGTTTTTACATCCATTTTCAAGATTATTTGTAATCCCCCAAAAGGTTGAAGTAAGCCAGATGTCCACTGACAGATAAATAATGTGGCAAAACATGCAATGGGATATTATTTAACCTTAAACTTGGATGAGTGTTAGTTTTATGGATGGGCCAGGTCTGGAAGGTACTTGCTACTTCCAGCATAACCAATTGGCTGATATTCAGTGGCAGGACCACCCCTAACTGCAAGGGAGTCTGGGAAATGTAGTACAGCTATGAGTCCAGGGGGAGGGAAAAGTGGATTTAGTCAGCATTTAGCCACCAAACACAGTTGAATCCTTGTCACAAATATTGAAACAGCTTGCTATGCTAGAAAAAAAAAACAAGGCAATTCAATGAACAAGTGATAATATAATTTTAACTTATGACCTTTGACACTAAAAACTACTAGTGAAGTAACTATAATTCAAGTTTTTACCATTTACCTACAAACAACTGCCTAAAGTCAGATATTTTTATTAGCGGTTGGGGATATAGCTCAGCAGCACACTATCTGCCTGGCAAGTGTGAGGTCCTGAGTTCGAGTCTTAGTACCAAAAATAATTTATTGCAGGAACGTGTGCATAAAATGAAACTGAGATTTTAACTATTTTTAAGTGACATTAAGTACATTCACATTGTTCAACAGCATCACCATCTCTCTCTTCACAATATTTACATCATCATAAACTGAAACTCCATAGCTATTAGATAACTTCCCCTACTTTACTTGCTGGCAACTACCACCCTGCCTTCTGTCTCTAAATTTGACAATTCTAGGTACCTCATATAATATAATAATATAATGCAATATTTGTCTGTTTTGAAGTAAGCCAGCCTCATCCACAAAACTGACCCATATACAAAACTCACATTTACCCACCATCTTGCTCTCTCTCTCTTGTTTTTTTTTGGTTTCGGGGGTTGAACTAAGGACCTCATGCTTGCCAGGCAGGCTCTGGGCCACTGAGCTGTATTCCCGGCTTTCATATTGTTCTCTTTGTCTTTCTGTGGGCTGGATGGATTTTCTAGGACCTGGAAAACCACGCAGCAAGAAGGCAGGGAGCTGTATCTGAATGACTTAGTTGAGCAGAATCTTTATACCAGTCCTAACTGTGCAAAAAAAGTGAACAAT